TTGTTTGGAATCAATATAAAATTAGTAAGTAAATAATATTCTAAAACAAACATGTCTTGGTGTTTAATTTGCAGTGGATCCTAGGTTTATTCCAAAGTATTTTGGGCTCAAAATAGACGCCCCATGGGAAGTCAAGTTACATAAAACTCCAAATCTCGTTTTTTTATTAATTTATTAGGAATTCCTGACATAAGGTTGTACGTTGTTCATTAATTATTCAATTAAACTTCTTGGCCCAAAATAATAATAATAATAATAATAATAAATAAATAAATAAATAATTGCCTCTCTTGTTGGCTTATATACTCACGTGGGAATGGAATCCATGTGAGTAGAAAAAGGCAAAATAAAATCATGCCCCCTCTATTGTGAGGGGTCTATCAGGAAGGGTCTCAAATTTTTAATTATTCTCTTACGAGGAAGGGACAATAATCTTTTTTTCTTTTTTTTAATTAAATCTTGAGCTTTGTGCCTTAGGTTTCCTTAAAGTCAGTGTCTGGTTTCATTTTTCATTTTTTATTTTTTATACATATTTTGCCTTAGTTGTTAGAATATGACAACTAGGGTTCCCCAAATTCATTCAACGTGTTGATGTTTTTCATATGAAAAGGAAATTCCAAATTAAAAATTTAGAAATCAAATAATTTCAAATTTTTAATAATGAGTAAAAGATCATTCAAGAATTGTATTTATTTGCACACTATCGACTGCAACTTGCTCAAGCACTAAAGTAACATGGACATATTTAGCATTATATGAGTTTAACCTCAATCTTCAATCTTTCTATCCTTCATTCTTGTGATTACATATGGGATACCATTCGTTGCGATTATGAACATGACGATATCAATGAGGATGAGAACTATCCAGTTGGTAATAATTAGTTTGAACACTCTCCCTCAATCAGTAAATTTGATTCGTATAAAAAACTCTTGCAAGTATGTTAGAAGATGCATGAAATCGCTTGCTCAAAAGAAGTCATTTGAGTTTTAGTTCTTTATTTTGTAGAAATTTCATGTGATAAATTCTATATTTTTTATTGGTAGTGTTCCTAAAAAGGGGACCTAGGCATGAAGAAGCGCTTCATATATGAAAAAATTGGCCAACCCTATGTGGATTTCATATAATATAGGCCTAGACAACAAATGCTATAACAAAAGACTGGTGCCTTTATTTAATAAATTAATGAAATAGTATTAAAAAAAGGAAATGCCTTGTTTTAACTGGTTCATAAAGTTTGAAGTTTGACGTTATTGTCTTGTCACATCTTACGTTTTTTCGAACATTGATTGAATTTTAGGTTTAACCCCTTATATAAGTTTTCCTTTTTTTCTTTTGAATGTCCAATTACGCCACCATGTATGGTTGAGTGTTGACATAGTTAAGACCATTCCGTTTTGAATGAAATCGAAGTTAAAATCTTTTCAACAAAAAATTCACCTTTAAAGTTTCAACGATCAAATAGATAGAAATTATTTGATAAAAACTCGAATACACCAACTTTAAGCCCGGACAATTGAGCCTACCAAGTTGGAACTTTCATGTGGGGCCGGGCCACTCTTGGACTCACTCTTCAAATGTTTACATGGGCCCACCAAGTTGAGCCTTCTTTGTAGGGCCCATACTGCACCACGAGCCCAGACAAAAGAGCCCACGAAAAAGGAACATTCAAACAAGCTCCTATCCTTCATCGAAGGTAAACTCATCTCTCCATCTATAAAATTGAAAGCAAAAAGGTGCACTACTATCAAGACAAAGTTTTGAATTTCCTAATCAATAAGGGTTAAGACTTAAATAATAGAATAATTTGATAAATTAAAAATAAATTTGTGTTTCGGAGAAGATCAAATAATTTCTAAGGTGAACGATAGTTTTTTGCAATAATCGAACTGAATAATGTGATTTTGCGTCTGAGCATTCTTACGATTTAATTTAACCACTCGTACCCTGACTCTATAACAATAACTTCTAGGCATCTAAGCTCAACTCGTTGAGCTTAATTCTTGTATTATTGCATATTCAATAGTCAATACATAAATAGAGAGTGTTTTTAAATTTAAAAAACTTTTAAAGAGTGTCATCAAATATTCGATTGAACAATTGGATCAAATTCGTGGAACTAATGTGTACGGGGTGGGGTGGGACCTACAATCCAATAAGATGTCAGAAATGGGTCCCACTTTCTTTTTCTATCTCTCTCCTCTGGCAGGTAAGTCGTCAGCCATTTTTGACTGACGCGTCTCAGTCTCAGTCTCAGTCTCTGTGTTCATATGCTGGCTCGGATCCCTATGTTTTGTTTTCTTCTTAATTTCTTTTATTTAAATAATAATATTTCTGTGTAAGAAAAAGTATATCTGAGCCGAGCCGCGTGAAACCATGCGGCTTCAGCCGTTTGGCTAAGGACTTTGCCACATGTACACTCTCATTTATACCCTCCTTTACACTCTTTCACATGGCAATATCTACACTCTTGATTTTAAACTCATCTATCACATCACTGCACAAATTACCTCCACATAGGAAGGAATGTCATCCAAGTAGTACGGAAAGATGTACGTATAGCATTATTTGTGTACAAATGATAACGTGGTAGAAAATGAGCGGTTGAATTTTTTGTCGAAGATGATGTGAATCTTACCAAGTGTAAATTTTTAAATATGGGTGTAAATGGGGATGTACATGTAACAAAACTCTTGCAGTTTTTCCTAGGTACAAGAAAAAAAAGATAGAAACCACCTGTATTGCTTTTTTATTTTCCCGTATTTTTGTCATTTTGCAAAGATATTCTGCAAAGTCTCCATCCATATGATTTTTGTGAAATTTTTTCTATACCTATAGCATTGTTCAAACTATTGGGACTAACTATTTTTGGAACGATTTTGTTCTTTGTATAGTCCGGGCTTGACAATTCAGAGTACAACTCTTAAGAAGGGGGGTTGGGGGGGAGGCAACATAAAATAAAAATGCAACCCCCTCTTGTGAGGGAATGTCATTCGAGTTGTCAAGCTCGGTGTATTTATAGTAAGCTCTTGTTTGAGCCACATTATATTTCTAAAAATATATTTTTGAATAGCATATTTATGGAAAATGTGTGGTTAAAAAATAAAGAAAAATTTTGAATTTGCGTGCAATATTATTTTATTGAAAAATGTGTAGTTGAAATGATATCAAATCATTATATAAGAATGTATTTTTTTTTTTTTTAAATGTGGCTCAAACATGGCCTAAAATCCCATTTGATTCACATTTTTTTCTCTCTTCTTTTTCACCATACATTCTTTGTTAAAATAATATTATACGTAAATCAAAATCTTTTTTTTTATTTTTCATCCACACATTTTTCATCAATCTACTATTCTAAAATTCATTTTTCCATGAAACTGGTTTTTCAGCCTCCATGGCCTTTCCCACTCTTTTTCTATTACTGACACTGAAGTGATTCGCCCTTTCTCGTTGGTGCTTTTGGGTGTCAAACGCCCTCTAAATCTCTTTTTGGGTTGGTTCCCACCTGAACACCCATATGGTTGGTTTATTCACAACTTCATTTTGATGAATTACACTTTAAATAACTTGGTATAATCAGCAGCTGGGTTGTAATTTTTGACCAATACAACATGTGAATCCCCATTCAATTTTTCGAGGCATCTAAAGTTTCAACTTTTTGAAAATTAGTACATTGTTCCAGATGGCACTGGCCGACGAAGGGGGGAAAACGAAGGCATTTTCTGGTCCCCCTGAGACGGAGGTTCTTGATTTTGGGGCGTTGGATTCTCTTTACCCTTCCCACAATGATGGCTCGGTTGTCTTGAGGAACCACTAAAAAAAGATTAAAAAAAATGCATTACAACTCAAATGTTATTATAACGGAAATTTAGACGAGAACCAGTCTTTGAAATTATCCCTTGTTTGAGCCCCATTTTTTTGGGAAGAATGAATTTTTAAATAGTGTATTGATGAGAAATGTGTGGTTAAAAAATAAAGAAAATTTTTAAATTTGCGTGTAATATTATTTTATTGAAGAATATGTGATTGAAATAATGTCAAAACACTGTTGAAAAATATATTTTTTCAAAAGAATTTGGTGGTGAGTCAAAGGCAGAACTAATACAATAGATCTGAACTCCCATGAGTTCTTTCTTTTAACTCAAATTTGTAAGATCCTCTTAATGTACTGCTAACAAGCATATATAAAGATATAGTAACACCTAAGTGGGCAACCGGCAACATTTTTGTAATCGTGTGAGTTAAATATTACACAAGAAAAAGTATAGAAAAAGAAACATTGATTCCTAAAGCTACATTTTACTTAAAGTTTCTTTCAAATATTTCAAATCTCCTCTCTTAATCCCACAAAAAGATGACTTCTTTTTGGAGAAACTTGGGACCATTTTTAATTGGGATATTGACTAATTCCTCATGAAACCAACAGCCCATCAATACCCTTTACCTGAAGTGTCAATGAGATGACAAAAGGTTATGGCCAAAACTTTTAACCCTTGGCATGTGCATGAATTGGAATCTTAAGTCTAAAACAACATTGGCATTGTCGAAGGAGACTGCCTCTGAACACTTAAGACCAGGCATATATTCTTGATTGTTCTTTCAGTTCTGATAGGCTACAATTTAAAAGTGATGAATTATTTATATTAGTAAAGATATACATTTCATTTATTTATTTTGAAATAATAAAACTCGTTCTGCAATATGAATTTGATTTAAATTTAGATGACCAAATTTTGAGTAAACATACGATGAACTAAATTATTGAAAAAAAATGGCGTATTTGGCTTTCAAATTAGAACTCAACCTTCCATTGCAGCCTTCTACAATCAATATCCAGAAAAAAACTCGTCCAAATCTTTATTAAATCATTAAGTGACCATTGTAAAAATATAAATCACTTCAAATTTGTAGACATCAAGTTGAACACATGCGATTTAGTTGAGAAGTGAAATATTTCAATTGTTGAAGATTGAATGCATACCTATTATAAAGAATAATTTAGTCTTTTTCAAAGACTGAGGATTAATTTTCCATGGATCAGAAGCAGTAGACAAATTATAAGTTTGAATCAACATTCTACTTCTTGGCCAAAAATGTATCTACAATGCTATCTGCGCGTACCAGTCAAGCCTAATTTTCTATCTTACAATGGGGATAAATGCATTTCATTCATTTAAATGTATCGACAGTGCTATCTGCGCGGACCAGAAGCTCTTCTATCAAGTCCATCTTCGTCGTCATCAAAAGAATGTCCATGTCCTACAGTAGGCCTTTTCAATTTCTGAAACATCTCGTCAAGGGATTCAGAGGATGAACCCTGAGATAAGGGTTTCATGTCCTCAACTTGGCCTAAAGGTAAAAATTTCTTAGCTTCAATATTCATCTTAAGAGATTGAAACCCCGCTTTCATTGATGCCCATTTTGAGGCTACACCCAATGGAATTCCAGAGTTGTTGCTCGATTGAGAGCTTCCGGTATCGAGCAAGGAGACCTTAGCTTCAGCAATATTCTCAACTGGTTTTGTGTTAGATGCTAGTTTGTTCTGTTCTCTCATGGCAGCATATTTGCTGCTTATGGATTCTTTGCTCCTGGAATGTCTCCTGGCCTCGTCATTTAAAGGTTTTGAAGAACTTCCCTTTGTGTCGTCCTTGCTCAAGTCGGATGCCACCTTCATTTCAACTGTACGTCTATCCTCTACATATTAACACCACGTTCAGAAATTCATTGTTACAAAGCAATTAGGATTGAAGAGCAAGGTTGAAAAACAACAGAAATAATTTTAATAGAAGAGAGAGAGAACTGATGATTGTTATCGGATTTTATGGACTTTGTATCTGAAATGAAAATCTCATCCAGTAGAATTAATATGTAAGAGGACATTTAGAATTATGCTTCTTAGTTCTTACAATTTAAAATTTTCCACCCAAAAATAATAAATGAAAAATGCATCTTCGAGAAACATTTTATGGACTTTGTTTCCGAAATGAAAATCTCATCCAGTAGAATTAATATGTAAGAGGACATTTAGAATTATGCTTCCTAGTTCTTACAATTAAAATTTTTCCACCTAAAAATAATAAATGAAAAATGCATCTTCAAGAAAACAAAACATACATTGTCACCAAACTCCAGGTCCATGCTCGTCCCATTGAAATTCCTAGCCAATGGGATAACATGTTCTCCGACTCTACGACCTTGTTCCAGCCACATTCTTTCTGGTGAAATAAGTTAGATCAGTTTGACATAATACGATGCGAAACTTGTATAGCATCACAGAGGACCTCAATAATAAAAATGCAAATTTTGAGTGACAGGGATCTCATATTAACTTTCATCAAGGACCATAGAAAATATGCAGCATCAGCAGTTCAGTCGCATCATTTACCTTTTTGCAGTATAAGCAATCCAGATGGATCAAAACCATCCACATCGTCTGCTTCTGTTTGAAGTCTAAATAGCTTCCAGTTGCCAAAGAAACTGATGATACGGTTGAAGAAATTGCTCGCAACCATAATTGTGTATATAACCATAATAAGCGGATAAATTCTGTTAAATCCTTGCCCAAAAAAAGGTACGGCTTTATCGATATTTCCCATTCGCTGCAACCATATGTCCATCCCATATTGAAAAAGCAACAAAAAATTCTATGGTTTAACAGACATTGTTCCAAAACGTCATGAACATCATTCACCTACTTCAAAAGATATATATACATATGTATGGATACATTGAACAAAGAAATAACCATTCAGCTTGGGAGATGTCCTTAAAAATTAACAAGTAAAACTTGCTCGCAAATAAAATCAAATGCATTTATATATCCATAAATAGCTAACTTTGATCCCACATACAGATGAAACTCACACAGATCAGTTACAAAATGAGATAAAAAAAGATGAGATAGAAAGCTCACTGCCTCAAAAATAGTTTCCTTGCCCTCTCCAAGATTAATGAGATTAAGAAAGTCGTATGAAATTGGAGGCGCATAACGAGCAACCATCCTGGCACCCAGATTGAAGTATAATTATGAACTAGTTTGAAGAATATCACATCATATCCAATTTATGCAATCAAAACCACAAGAAAAACTCACGAGCATATCATTAGCAAACTGACTGAGCTTGTTTGTCTCGGAGTCAACGAATAAAACATTAGCATTCCAATTTTGAACAAAGAATAATATGTGCAAACACACATGTACATCAGAGGAACAAATGCGAAGACCTGAGACGGAGAATAAATGATTAGACACAATTAATTGTAAGAAATATAGAAACAAACCACACGCTAAATAACTGGAGTTAAAGGCAGAGACTCCACCAGCAGGGGAGCACCCATGTTCTCTTTTACATATGCAACAATGCTCATGGGCAGCTTATCTAATTGAATTCCTTTCTTGCTGGATTATATTCAAAAGTTCACTATAATTGAAGGAAACAAACTAAGATTTTTTCTCAATAATTTGGAGTTGGCCATACTAATCATCTTCCGCCACTCTGCTTGATTCATTGCTGGATTTACATAAAGATCTAAAGCAACTAGATTCTTACTAGTTACAACTACCATGGGTCAAAAAACAAAAGAAAAGTACTACTAAATGAACAAATAATCCAAGAGCATAGCAAATACTGAGGATCTAAGATGTTGTCTTACCCTATACAGATTATTGAACCACCTTTCTGAAACAGCAATATGCAGACTGCAGTTGTTAACAAAACCTAGATAAGACAGATTGAATATACCTGCACAACCACCTCTTCATTTCCTACGGATTTTATGAGGATAGAAAATAGAGATAAATCAACTCCTCCCAGTAACAAAGTAGCCTCAGCCAGGAGAATTGCGACTGACATGCAACCAAGAATAACAGCAAAAACTTTCTTCAATTGCTTCCACAAAATACATCGCCATACTAATTCTGAAGACAAAACAATATTTTTAGATACTTGTTTGATACCCATTATGTTCAAAATACATTTTCCCTCTCTTTTTTTCAACCACACATTCATCGATAAAATAATATTATACGCAAATCCAAATCTTTTCCTTATTTTTTAACCACACATTCTTGATCAATCTACTATTCAAAAATGCATTCTACACCAAAAATGGGGCTCAAACAAATACATGATTAGATATAAGACTCCCCATATACAGGAGTAAGATATAATTATCACAGAATGGTGTTCATATGGAATAACAGTATTAACACACAAGCCATCTGATACTGAAGCCAGGGGAATGATGACTCAAGAACAGCAATTAAATGAACCCACCGTCACCGTACAAGCTGATAATAAACCCACCCAATAGATCTAGTTTCATGCATGCGATAAAAACATTATTGCCTCAATTAATCAGCAACCAAATATAAAATGTTCTTTTGCTTCAGATGTTGGAAAAAAGATTTTGCTGCACCAAGAGATTCTGATTCAAATACAAAATTAATGGAATAAGTTATTACCTATTGTATCAAGGCAAGGCCCTAATTTACCAGTCCGTTCAGATCTAAAGCTTGAGACATATTTCCTGCATTACAACACAGTGCAAAAATCAAAAGAGCAGGAAGATAATGGTTACACAGTGATAGAAGCAACAATACCAATGGTGTGATGATAAAATATATTTATGGGGAATGATGATGATAATAGTGCAATAATGGATTTTCAGTAAACGAGGATTCTGGAAAATCTGCTAGCTTCTGCAGTGGATTTCTAAAGCTATTTCCGGTTCAGAAGAGATGTAGCATTATAGCTCTCTTTTTTTCAACCACACATTCATCGATAAAATAATATTATACGCAAATCCAAATCTTTTCCTTATTTTTTAACCACACATTCTTGATCAATCTACTATTCAAAAATGCATTCTACACCAAAAATGGGGCTCAAACAAATATATGATTAGATTGAAGACTCCCCATATACAGGAGTAAGATATAATTATCACAGAATGGTGTTCAAATGGAATAACAGTATTAACACACAAGCCATCTGATACTGAAGCCAGGGGAATGATGACTCAAGAACAGCAATTAAATGAACCCACCGTCACCGTACAAGCTGATAATAAACCCACCCAATAGATCTAGTTTCATGCATGCGATAAAAACATTATTGCCTCAATTAATCAGCAACCAAATATAAAATGTTCTTTTGCTTCAGATGTTGGAAAAAAGATTTTGCTGCACCAAGAGATTCTGATTCAAATACAAAATTAATGGAATAAGTTATTACCTATTGTATCAAGGCAAGGCCCTAATTTACCAGTCCGTTCAGATCTAAAGCTTGAGACATATTTCCTGCATTACAACACAGTGCAAAAATCAAAAGAGCAGGAAGATAATGGTTACACAGTGATAGAAGCAACAATACCAATGGTGTGATGGTAAAATATATTTATGGGGAATGATGATGATAATAGTGCAATAATGGATTTTCAGTAAAAGAGGATTCTGGAAAATCTGCTAGCTTCTGCAGTGGATTTCTAAAGCTATTTCCGGTTCAGAAGAGATGTAGCATTATAGAATTCCCAATTATTCTTTCCTATCCTAACATTGTTGAATTTTTCTATCTTTAATAGCAGAATAAGCATTATTTCCTAGGTTACATGAGTATATCTTAGTCCTAGGCCTTGAGTGCTCCCAAAAATAATTTTCTAACACTTGGATCATTGATTCAGGGGCTTTAGACCACACGACCAACTATTCGTGCCCAGGAAGAAGAAAGACTTTTGATAGTAATTTATTAGTAGTGGCAGAAAGAGGGGATGTTGATGAGAATCTCAGTAGAGATATTATTTAATTTATTATCCAATTTTGATGCTTATTCTAGGAAACATAATTAGGTTAGATTTAATAAATTCCTACTTAGAATTTGAAACCCTATATAAATTGGGCTTATGCACTTTTAACATGTACAACTTTGTTATCAATAAAAATTGAAACTTTCTTTCCCAATTTCTCTTCCGTCTCTCTAATTCTTACTCCCTTTCCATCTCACCACTTCTTCTCTTTTTCCCTTGTTTCTCTTCTTCTCTTCCCTTTCCCTTTCTCCTATAATTCTACTATTTTGTTTGATTGCATCCTACATTAATTTAGTATCAGAGTAAGTCATTTTCCTTTGACAAAATAATTTTCGTCTTCAAATTCAAAGCTTATACACCCACATCCATAGCCAACTTCATCCACCCAAAATTCTCCCCACCCACCACAACTTAAAATAAGAAATGAACAGAGGAAAAATTGTTTTATTAGCTAGTTCCAAAAATAAAAAATTGTTCATCATTTATTGTTCATCCAAGATTTTTTCCCCCTTTTACTTTCATCGGACCATCTACCGATTAAGCAAAATTTTGAATTAGATTAGTTCTTTCATTATTCTTTTTAGTTTTTTGAATAAAAGAAAAAAAAGGTCAAAAGAAAAGAAAAAACAACGAAAAAATGACTATTGTTTGTAGAAACCTAAGCTATTTTGTTTCTTTCAATTGAATTATCTGCTCAGAAGAATCCAATTAAATCAGTCGAAAAATGATGATTGGGACACCGTTGGACTCTTCTAAAACTCATGAATTACCGATTCTTTTATATTGAAAATTTACTTTTAATTTGGTATTCTGGCTTGTCAATTTTTTTAAAAAAAAAAAAAATCACAAAATACCATGAATTCATATAACTTTTATAGCTACACGATATTCCTAGGTTGTTATCACGATGGTGTACCTTTTCCTTCCTCTTATCAGTAGAATTGTTCCCCCATCTAGGGATTTTGTTGCAACGTTCATTATCTTTCTAGGTAGGTTACATTACAACCATGGGATTTTAGATTGTCTTATGGGTCTCAAATCATTTTTCAATTGGTTCAATAATCTTGAAAAATTATTTAGTTTTTACAACTTGAGTAACTCGTCTCGTATTTGTTATGCTAATCTGTCACTTGTTGGATCTGTTAAGTGTTATTGAAAGTCATTTTTGCATGACATTGATCGCCTAGGTCAACGTCGTGTCACTTCGTGGGATGAGATGAAAAGAGTAATAAGTAATGAAAATGTACATATGCATTATCGACTCAACTGCTAGATTAATTTTTTTTTTTTTGCACTATAGGCAAGATGCATCCACTGTTAAAGTATGTCTAGTTTTTCTTGCTAAGCCTATTGAGTATTCTAATAGTGAGGATGATATTTACAACATTATAGAACTTGACACAATTGAGGATTTACCTATGGTGTTGCTACCTAAACATGTAAAGAAAAAGTTTTTGGATCAAGCGCTTGAAATTAATCTATTTGATTGGTCATTACACTTGAATGAAGATTTTGTTTTCAATACAGCAAAATTATTTCTTCGGGACACATTAGAACCACTGTTATTACAATCATTTGTTTCAATCTACTCAGCTAGTGCATTGTGCTCCTCGTGTGGATTCTGTAGTAGCTTTTTTAAATAAGTTGCACATGTTTTTGCTTCTTGAAGTTCCTTATTGCTACTTGGTTACAAGGAAAGATAGTCCCCTTGGTCAGATCAGATGTTTGAGAATCATTTTCGGATTAGATTTTCGAAATATGATTGCTGTCGTTATTTAGTCAGGAAGAAAGATTGTTCTCATTGGTTAAGAAGTTGCAATTTATTTCTTCACAATCGAGTTTTTTCAGCCGAGGAGAAATGATATAGAGATTATTTAATTTAGTTTTCCATTTTTAATGCTTAGAAGAAACATAATTAAGAGTTGATTTAATAAATTTTATTAGATATTTCCTACTTAAAAGTAGGGTATCTGAAACCCAACGCAAAGGGAGTTTATGCATTATAATAGATACAAGATATGAATAAAGTCCTTGTTGGGCTCCATTAAAATCAAATTTCAAGGAAAAATGTATTTTGGAATAGTTACTTTTTGAAAAATGCATGGTTAAGAAAGGAAAAATTTTGGATTTACGGGTAATATTATTTTATTGAAGAATGTGTTGTTGAAAAGAAGGGTGAAAAAATACATTTTGAAAAAAAAAAAAAAAAAGGAGCCCAAACATGAGCAAAACTTAATACTTTCTTATCCAATTTCTATTCCGTCTATTTAATTCTTCTCCCCGTTCTATCTCTCCCCTATCTCCTTTCTTTTCTTTTCTCCTCTTTTCTTCCCTTTCCCCTTCTCTTATAATTCTACTATTTTGTTTGATTGCATCCTACATTAGATGTCTCCCTAAAATTTTTTGATCTTCTCTAACTCTAGAAAATGTCTTGCATGTCCTAAAACTCTCATTGTATTGGTATATTCCCAAAATTAGAAAGTATTGTGTGTTCTTATAATTAGGACAGCACTAAATCTCCATGTTTCTTTATGACTTCATGGGGAGAATGATTGGACATGCTAGAGAAGAAGGGGAATGTATCTCCTTGAAGCTAAAAGTGGCATGGCAGATCCTTCTTGTATCTATATGTCCAAAATCCTACTTCCATTTTGGTCTTGATCATTCATCTTGGTTTTAGAAGACTTTCCCCAGCAACATTTGGGGGCTTAACCTTTGTGCATATATATGCCCACCACTTAAATGTATGATTGTTGGCCCATTCATCGACAAGAAAAGGGTAAATGTGCTGTCCTCTTATGTGTTTTCTGTTACCATATATGTATCATTCAATGAAAAACAGCCTTCTTCCTTGGTCCTTATATTCAATGGCCCTTTTGCAATAGATGAGGAATTCTTTCCGAACAAACCCACCTAGAGAACTTCACCAAAACTGTCTAGCGTAAAGAGAGAGCTGATAAGAACCTGGAATATTGTCAACTTACCCAACACACTTATAAAGCAATCGAATGCTGGAACAAAGCAAATTTCTCATTGATGAATAGAAATTACATAGAAATGGGTCTGCTATGAGAAGAGCAAACCTGGAATACGATTAACAAGAAAAGAAAGGAAGTAAGAAGGATATAGATATGGACATTCGAGAGCAGGGGCGGAGCTAGGAAATATTTTCAGTGCGGGCATAATTTAACCCAGGGGCGGACCCACATAGGATCATGCGGGGTCAAATGACCCCACAAAATTTTGCCCTTGTTTTTTTTTTTTTTTTAACAATCTACTTTGATGCACTTGTCGAGATGCCAAATGAAGTCAAAATATTGGATTCTTAATACTATTTCGAAATGCTCATGGCCTAATTTTTCACTCATTAATGGCATGCGAAGTGGTTAACTATAGCAAAAGTTATGACATGTTAAAGTAGAGCGTTTAAAACTAGTATTTTGAGAATTTCGATAATATTCTAACTTTAAAAATTCGTTTGCGATCATGTGCTATCTAATCCATAAATCGTCTACACCATGTAAAAGTTTGTTTCGTAAACTACATCATTTTCATATCGAATAGTCCAAATGGATATCGAAAATAATTAAATATGTATCAAACGTACGCCTCAAAAAAGATGTCTAACTCGTTTTTTCTTTTAAAAAATTCAATTAATTATTATTTTTGCACGATAAATTTTTTAATATAATTTATATCATTTCATTCGAAAGTCTTACATGAAATATGATGTAAATTTTTTAGGATCGTTACGGATTAAATGATTAAAAGAGGCACCATTTAGCAGACTAACAGAGAGCACAGAATAATCAATGTTATTTCTATTTTATTTGAAATAAAAATCTGCAAAACCTACATTAATGGCTTGTTTGGGAAGTGTTTATAAATAGTAAAAATTATAAATGGATAGAAATGAATGGTGGATAAGACTCGTAGGTCACACGAAACACGTGGATAAAAAATGCTTTCACCGTATATAAACAATTTATTTTTGGGTGTATAGTTCAGTTGGCAGAGCATTGGGCTTTTTACCTAATGGTCGCCGATTCAAGTCCTGCTATACCTAAACCTGCCTTACACTTTACTATGAGTAAGGACTAATTCATGCCTTCAAAGATGACTCTTTGGCCAAACATAAGCCAAATTTAAAATGTTAGTGTGTTGAACAATTTAAAATGAATATGACTCCTTTTTAACAACTCGAGCTTTTAGATGGGATGATTCACATGGTTACAAAATACCAGGGATCGAATCTCGTAGTCATCAGTTAGATATGATCAGAAATGGATTTAGAATGCTGTCATGTCAATGTGATCAAGGCTCTAATTTGATGACATTTTGTAATACTTTTTGACCTCTAGAAATTTGGGTTAAGAATATGTATCAGAGGATGATTGTGATACTAAATTTAGCTCGAATTGCATGGCCTCATCTCCCAGTTAGACATCTACAAGAGAAATCGTCGTAGATATATTGAATATAGATTGTTCGAATGCAAATTTTCAAGAATAGAATTTTCGGTAACATCCAAACAAAAGAAACAAATTTCAATAAGGAAATAGAGAAAGTGCAAACCATCCAGTTGTATAGCGTCGTTCATAATTCTTAATAGTATCTTCCAATTCAAGCGTCTTTGTAACACAAGCCAGGTACTCACTGTGAAAAAATAACAGAAAAGAGTCCAACATATTTTAGTAAAAATATCATCAGCGCCTGACAGTTACAAAGTGCTATATAGTATTTGTTGAAGAAAATGTTTAAATGATATACATGTGGCCGACTCTAACATAAGCTTTTAAATCACATGGTACAACAATATTTTTTCTACATAAATTACTAAGATAGATGACAAATTGGTGCCCATGTTGACAATTTCTATGAAATGAAATCTGATGCAGGTAATAACATTTTGACCAAGTTTTTTACCATGTGAGTGTTACACTAAAACTTCTAATAGTCCAAAGATTAAGGATCTAAGTTCCACAAGGTTGAAAGCAGGTAGGAAATAAATAAGGTAATATCTCTTGTGTCATCCACCAAATCATGAAAAAACTATGAAGCAGTCAGTGATCTTACATGTAGAAATACAGATAAAAGTATGACTATGAAAAATTGGGAAAAGAATAAGAAAAAACACAAGATAAACATGACACTTAGAAACAACCTTGGCAAAGAACTAGAACTACGTGAAAATAACACAATAAGGAGGCAAAAAAAATAAAAAGAAAAGAAGAAGAAAGCATTGAAGTGTTCAGACAGATATGGATACATACAAGAAATAGATTGAGAATCAGAACAGAAATAGTTCATCCAGGAGAATGCAAATAGTTAATAACTATACCTTTTGCATCGATAATACTCCTCACGAGCTTGCCGAAGATGACGTCTGAGAATTGCCATTGATTTCTCATCTGAATCGTAATCCATATCACTCCCAACCGCCCCCCTTGTGGCTTGAAGGAAGGATCTTCTTTGAACTGGGAAATAGGAAAATAGAAGTTGAACTGCATAAATAATAACCGTATGTAGAGATTTTAATACATGGTAATGTTTAAAAACCAGAATTACCATTTGCACTAACATATTATCAATGATATCCATAAGAGGTCTCAATGGATCGCGCTTGGACATCTGTTTTGATGTTGCCTGAGCAATCTAAAGAAGATACCAAAAATTAGAAGGAAAGAAATTACATATATAGTCAATCAGCTAAAACATAAAAACTGAAAAATATTGAAGCATGGGCAGTAATTTTTTGTTTAACATTCCATCCACAGAATTCTAAAAATATGCACGTTTGCCTCCTCAAGGGTAGAGAGCAGAGAAAATCAGCAGTATCAGTCCCCAAGTATACATCCATATTCCAAAATAAATGGTGTAAATTGATATACAGTAGTGCCATGAAGACGTAGTCTGTGCTAAAATTTTATTATTGGCTCCTTTCTTGCATTCTATATTACTATTGTTCATTACTTAGGTGGATATCATATCATTTTTGAGCTTTTTTATCATGTCCTTTCCAAGACTAATTAAAGGACCAGGCTGATAAGAAACATAAAAATGGTGTACGTAGCTGGTGGAGATAGAACAGATAAGATCATTTCTCTAAACAAAATCTTAAATTCCGTTAGTAAGATTCATAAAAATGACATCTGCCCCACCCTTTGCAGCTTTGCTTTTCTTTTCTACAACCCACATTTGACCTCAATTCTTTTAACTGATGAATTTTAGTTGGTCCTCACCTCCATCGTCAATTCTTTTCATCTCACTTCCTGGTACATCCTCCTTGCTCTGTTTTGCTTTATATTTTTATTTTCTTTTGGGGAGAG